CACACACACACACACACACACACACACATACAAACATATAAATATAAGATCCTGGTTTCCTGTGCTAGGAAAAATAAACTGATGATGATTGCATTTTTATCCTGATATTTGATCAAGGCTGATGCTTTATAGCAACCTGGGTGCCTAGCGAAACGGTCCTCGTTCTGCAGGCAAGAAGCAGAAAAAGCCTTTGCGCGATGCCCTGAATTACGAACCGCCCAGTGACAATTGAGCCGAGCGCGCTACGAATCCACCGCCCTCCCCACGAGGTAGCCATTTCTAAAAACAAAACCAAACCCTGATCAGCCTTTAAGAAAAGAGAACACAGCAGAACCAAGCGAAAAAAGGAAAGAGGAAAGCAGTGCCGCGACAAGGCAAATGACACATATGTCTTTATTATTTATATATATACTTATATTTATTACAGTGTATTAGAAGCCATATATATATATAATCGATCATAATAAATATGATTTCATAGGTAATAAAATTGTATTTATATAATTATTAATAAATATAGTGTCTGCAGAAAACATGACCTCCACTTTGGTAGTGGTCTCTCCGAGTCTGGAGACCCCCAGCTAAAAGTCAGTCATTTACCGTTTTGGGGGCTGGGGGTGCTGCCAAGGAGAAGGCTGGGTGGGGCTCGGGGTAGGGCAGCCTGGGGAAACCCAGGGGTACGTCCACCTCTGGAGCGGAGGGGCTCACTGGATCAGTTGGGCTGGGTCTGTCTGCGTGAGGCAAGCCTACCGCGCAGGGTTGTTGTGGATAAAATGAGAGAGACCCCCCCTCCCCGCCCCCAATCCATTCCTGTACACCACCCTGGACTCCCAATGCAAGAATAAATATAGAATGCAAGGTACTACAGCAACAGTTTGCCCTGAGACTACTGATCCCATAATCCTAAACATGCAACCCATTTTGCAAAGAGGGGTAATGGTGGGAGAGGCGCCTCTCCCCGCCTTTCAAATACCCACCTGGCTTTTTATGGGGAATTGGAGGGGCTGAGGCCGAGAGTCCAGCTGAACGACGACCCCGCAGTGTAGGCTCGGCTCGATCGTTCCCCAGGCACTCTCACCTTCCCGCCCCGCCACCTTGGCTCCCACGCTGACGCTCCAACAGAACCCGAATTCGTCACGCGCTGCCCCCTTAACTTACCTCTACGACGCGGCTCGCGTGACGTCTTTCTTCGGGAGGAGGCGGTTCCGCGCTCGGCTGTCAATCCCGGCAGGCTGGGGGCGTGCGCTTGGCGCGTAAGGCATGCTGGGGCGGTGCAGGGGACGCACGTCCGGTTTCTTTCCGGAAGTGGGAGTATTTCCGGAAGTTGGAGGCTGTGTTCGCCGAGGCCTTGCTGCGTTGCCCCGGGAGACGGGGGAGGCGATTGGTGGGGTGAAATGGAGCCGCCGGGGACCCCGGCGGGGTCCGGCACTTCGGCCCAGGCGCTGGTGCCCGTCCAGGCCGAGACTTCCGCCGTAGCTGTGCCGCAGGAGGCTCCCCAGGAAGCCCCCAAGTGCCGCAAGAGGGTCCTGGACGAGGACGCCTACATTCAGGTGAGTGGATGAGGCCGAGCAGGGCTTCGGGAGACTCGGCTGCCCATCGCCTCTCAGCCCCCGAGCGCTTTCCTGCGTGGTTGGGGGCCCAGCGCTCTCTTCCTCCCCCGGCCTACCTCGCAGGGTCGTTGGGTGGAGGCGGGGGGAGGAGGAGGAGGAGGAGGAGGGGAAAAAAATAAAAATATTTTTTTTAAAAAAAGA